TGGCGAAGTTAATAAAATAATATTAAGATAGTGGTTCTCATTTCCAAAATTGACAAAAACTTCCTTAGAGAAATTTCTTCATCCTTATTATTTTATATTTCCTAATTAATTTAAAAATAGTTAATGTATATTAACAGAAAAACTCCAAACCGAAGTTTCTTTAAATATCTGATATATAGTTTTTGAGTCAGGGAAACTGCCTAAAAATAACAGAGTTTATTTCATCTGGGTTACTCCTACTTGGTACAATGAAATTGTTAGCCTTGCAAGGTTCTACTGTTCCCTGATCCAGGCTCCTTGATGGGGTCTGAGCAGCTGTCTCCCCATTCAAGCCCCTCTGCCAATTCATTTGCCTACAGCCCCGGCTGAGTCTACCACCTCATTTAATCTGGATCTCTTGTTTTCTCCTTTGTACAGTAACATGGAGAGGGACAGTTTATTATTAATGTCCCTCTCAGAAGAACTCAGAACTTGAGTCCTGATGTGATCACATATGATCAACAGTTTTGAGTCACTCACTCTATGAAACAATCACGAACCAGTATGTTCAACAGTGTTTTAAGTTCTGAGAAGTGTTCTGTGATGCAACTTACTGCAAAGAAGCAAAAGTGATCCCACCATCTCAGATATTAACAATTCATTTTCATGTGCACAGACTGAGTCTTAGGATATGTTTTATGATCCTGGGTTTGTGTTTTGCTTTTTCTGTTTACTAGATGTGTGCCCTGGAGAAGAAACTTAATCCTCAGCTTCCTTCTCAGTAAGATAGATTCAAATTTGCTTCTAAAGTTCTTGTGAGAATAAAGTGAGATAATGTAACAAAGTACTTAGCATAGTGTCCATCTAAGACATGTAGTTGTTTCATGAATGTCATATGAAAAGAATGTTCAACTAGTAAGACTATCATAATCTTTATCCTCACAACTTTGAATGGTATGTCGGCGTGGACCTGGCCACATTTGATTCTGTCAGCCTGTGTCAACCTGAAAGTTTAACGAGGCTTTTCTGAAGATTCTCTCCCTTTAGAAAAGAATCCTTCATTTTATTCTCCAATTAACACTCTCCCAGGTAGACAGAGCATAGTGCTATTCTATTAAGTGTTTGGCCCCCGTTGGGTCTCAATGGTCTTCTACTTGCCTATGATATGAACCCAGTCTTCTCTGAATTCTCATATTCTTCACACATCATCCTAATGCTTCAAAAAACAGTTATCCATGCTGTCCCAGAGCCCCGAGGCCAAGAGCTCACATCCGTCTGATGGCCTCCCCACGTTTTCCAGATGAGGGAATGGCGGTGTACTTTGAAGCAGGTGACTCCCAGCTATTGGAGGAAGGGGGTCTAAAAGGTGGACAAGGACCTCTGGCTTTTCCTTCTCCTGCGTTTCTGACAAAGCAAGGAGATAGGACCTGACTACACAGGAGAAACCTTCATGAAGGTGACCTGTGCAGAGTCCCAGCCTGGGGTCCTTCCAGCTCAGCTCTTGTTCAGCATGAAACTGACAGGACTCAAGTTATTTTATGGGGCTAAGCGGACGAGTCAGGTTTGGCGTTTTCAAAATGCTGATGAGATTCTGACCGAGTTAGGAATCTACTCAGTCTATCTGAAGCTTTCTTACCCTCTTTATTCCTTCTGGTCAGAATATGCCCGCTACACCCACAAGGACGGGAGAACACAGTGAAGCTGACTCGACGAATAGTCAAAATGTGTTTCCTGATGTTGAATTGTGGCCATTTTTCTCTACCCTTCTAAAAGTCCTTGATCAAAACAGACAGGATGTGATTTTAAAATATGGCACATCAAAACTGAAAGAACAAATTTCAAATGTCCTTGTCTCTGAACTCATTGGGATATGTGTTACTCACAGTGGAAGAGTTGAAGTCTTTTTCTAACTTTATGGGCTCCTATTTAGGTAAGAATGGAATTTCTGAATTTTGACTGCTTGAGGACCGTTTATTCACACAGCCATCAGATAAAAATATCAAAATGAATTTAAGGGCCCTTCTATGTTTAAGCATAACACACTTAGTTTGCCTCTTCTTGTCTCCAACTGGGCTGTAGAGAGGGCACGCCTTCCTCAAAACATTTTGAATGAGTTGAGTTTCAAGTTCCACTCTGCAAGTTGCTCTTTCTGGGATCTTGGTTAAGGCGCATAATCTCCATGAAACTAAGTTTCCTCACCTCTAAAATGGGGACAATAACTATTACTTTGGGTTTACTGGGGCAACATTTATAATTTAGCATAGGACGTGAACGTCATAGGCAAAACAACAAAAAGTCAGTATGTACTGTTTAAGCACCTATTATACACCCTGGGCTGCTAAGTCTCTTGCTTGCTGCCCAACTCTGGGACCACAGTTTGCATCACAGTCATCAGAGATTTGCATGTTTATTAGCAGGTTTTAATTTTTATTTTTTTGGCAGGAAATAAAATGTTTTGAGGAAGGCACACCTTTTAAAAACTCACACAAAGGCACCATTTAGGCTAGCAAAGGCCGGGTCATGGCCATGACAAATGACAAAAACATACAATCTAATGGAGAAAGGCAACATAGAGACTCAAAAAAAACAAAAAAAGGTGCACTGATTGATGATTGTATTGAGTATCTAAAGAGCAAGTGTCTATGTGGTCTAGGAGGGAGAAGAAAGCATTCCTTCTAGAGTGAAGAGCCACTGAAACTCAGCAGCAATGATGATTTTAAGATATGCCTACAAGTTCCTTGATATTCCTCCCTTTAAAATATGAGCCTCACTCCTCCCCCTGTTGGGCTATATTTAGTGACCCACTTCGAATGAATTGAATGTGATAGACTGCCATCACACACTGAATGTGTGTGACCCAGGATACTGAACTGTATGAGGCAGTGTGGCATCCTCCTTGCTCCCTCTCCTTGGTCACTCTTTCTGGGGGAAACCAGATGCTATGTTATAAAGACTCTCAGGCAGTTCCTGGGAGAGGCCCATGTTGTAGAAAATTGAACCCTCTTGCTAATACCATGTGAGCCATCTTGGAAGTGGTCAAGCCCCATCTCGTCTGCAGCCTTGTGAAACACCCTGAGCCAATACCACTTTGCTAAGCCACTCTAGCATTCCTGATCCACAGGAACGATGTTAATTGTTTATTGTTTTAAGTTACTAAGTTTTGGGATAATTTGTTATGCAATAGATCACAAACACAGTGGTGAAAAGTTCCCAAAGGAAACTTCCCTTTGGTTGGAGCCTGGAGGCCTGGGCTGGGTGACTGAGATGTCCAACTTTCTCTATTATAGGAAGTTAGGATTTAGCCTATCAGCAACTTACTCAAGCCAGAGGGTGCTTTTACACAGCGGAGTGACGTGATCAGAGTTGATGGTATTTCTGGCATGAAATGGAATGGGGAAGAGGCTGATTGGGGTGTGACAGAGACTTCCAGTTAGGAACTTCTAGAATCAACAGTTTAGGTAAGAGATGATGAGAATATGAACTAAGGCAATGGCAGAAGGGGTGCATATGGAAGGCTGTCTTAAGATTTGGTGGTTTTCGGAAAGAAACAGGTAGTTTCTAAGGCCATCTAGTGCAATCATGTTTCACTCTGCATTGTGTAGGAAAAAAATGTGTGAACTATTCGACACCACATTTATACCAACATTATTGTCTTACACACGATACTTCCATGAGCTTAGAAGAATGAGCCCTCCACAAAAAGTACTTCACAAGAAATACCACACTCTTAGGATTGAATATTAAGCATTTGAAATGTTCTTATAGAAATGCTAGTTCGAGAACAAAAAGAAAATAAAGAGCTCCAATCTTCCATTGGAACCAAAAGCCACACATTTGTCCGTTGTACAAGTCAGCCACAGAGGATTAGACTGAATTGCAGTGGAGTGATTTATAGTCCTGTCTGAATACCGATCACACATAGTATTGAAATACTGGAAGATTCAAACAGTCTATGACTCAAATAGCACAAGCAGTGATAGTAAATTAGCTAAGTGCTCATCTCCCCAGAAAAGGGTTTCCTTAGGAAAATAATACCTATTTTTAATATGTCAGTAGCTTGAGAAAGAGATGAATATGTCAATGCTAAGTCATATGTGTTTTAAAAGGCCACATTTCTACACAAATGGCAAGAAATAAATTTTTTTTTAGAAAATTAATTTTTATTCTATTATATTGAACACATTGTGTCATCCCTACTCATAGCTGCATTCCAAAATATCTCCTCTGGGAAGCAGGGTTCTAGTTTTACTGAACATGAATAAAAGAACCAGGCAGAATTCGAAACCAGGAAAGTCAAGAAAACAAATTTGCTTTTCAGAAGGAAAATGTTTATAAACAGTAATAGTTGAGAATCATATAATTTGTTTCTGAAAATTACCTTTTCAATAGGGCTGTATTTTACATTTGCATACTATATGGAATTTTGTAAGAAACATTAATTTTCTAATAACTTGATGTAATAAACCATGGAATACTCAGTGTCCAAATACAGCAAATAGGACATGTCCAATAAGAGGTATATTATTTCTCTTAAAATAATAGGGCAAATCTAAGTTCCTTGAGGCAGAGACTGTGTTGTTGACTGTGGCAGTCCTGTGCCTACCATGCTGTCTGAAAGGAGTCACTCCACAAGTGACAGGAATGAAGGAAGTAGTGGAGGAGCGAGTGTGTGGACACGTGCCATTGTACAGATGTTGGGCTGGCACAAATAAAAACAAAGCCATACATTTCAAAGATATGCTTCCAAGGTAAGAACTCATAAATATTTACAACTCAAGAGTCTGTGGAAGATGTAAAAACATCCTGATGTTTAAGAAAAGACAAAAATAACACAAGTGTGAACTGAGATGCTGCAGCATATTTTAAGAACACTGCTGTTCAGAGTCATTGGAATATGGTGAAAACTTAATAAAGTAATGTTTAATTATTGACCATCAAAAATCTGCTTCTGATTCATAGTCAAAAGTTAAACTTTTGTGGAAGGAGAACAGAGAAGGACAAAGAGAAACTACCACCATTAGTGCCTGCACCAGAGCAATTTATTAGCGTAATTTTTTCATTTTTTTCTTTAAAGATTTCATAACAACTGAAGTATGTACAAAGTCTTACAGCATTTACACCATAAAAAGTTTCCTATTAGCTGATGAAGTCTAACGTAGTGCTGCTGAGAACTTCAGACGTAGCAAAAGCAATGAGGCAAACCACTTATAGGTTTCCCTCTCTGCCGCCACATCCTGGTGTCACCTGAGTGACGGCTAAGTGTACCACCTGGAAGACAGGTTATTGGGGAAAAAAGGGGACAAGTTGATAGGCAGCACTAGAGACCATGGAGTGGAAAAGCTACATAGCAATGTGTTTCTACAGTTTCCTAGAGCTGTAACAAAGACCCACAGCCTGAGAGAATAACATATACAAGACAACAGAATCACACTGCTCAGATATAGTTTAGCTACCAAGTGCATTCACTTTTGAATGGGAGGCTCTACTGATATGGCTGGTATTTCCATTTCTGTGCGAACCTGCACAAGCCCCACTCCCTTCCTCCAAACCAAACAACAACAAAAGGAGAGGGAAAGAAACAGCATGAAATTAGTAGTTCTTGACCAAAACAAAACAAACAAACAAACAAAAAACCCATAAAAAAACCACAACTTTTTTTTTTTTTAAAGGCATTCAGTATCTGTTTCAGGGTGGCCATTCTGTCAAAAGATATTAAAAATTTCTGAATTATCCCAAATCAGAACAACATCAACAAAACCCCCAAACATCCAACCTCCTAGATTTACCCATCCTTCATTGTATCTGATCATCTTTCCTTGGGGTCAGTATTACACAGAACCACCAACATTTACACACTGAATCGGACACAAAACGTAGCATTGTTATCCAAACGACTGCTTCACTAAGTGGAAAGAGAATTTCAACATGTAAACGATTAACGTCAGGCTCACCACTTTATTCCACAGAAAACCCAGCCTGGTTCTATGTTTGGTCAGTCACTATCTGTTTTGACAGCAGATCCCAATCACTGTCGCATGGGAATAGTCTCACATGTAGGCAAAGTGGCTTTTTATTTCAAAAAGATTCTGCTCTCAACTTAAAAGCCAGTTGATAAAAGTTTTAATTAAGACACAATAGCGCGGGATATAAAAACACAAGAACCACATAAATATCGAAGAAGTTGTATACCATTTTCATGTAAACAGTTTTGCTTAGGAGCAAAGCCCTAATCAGATTCTGGCCTGAAACTTTTGGCAGATGACGCGTGTTCAGCCAGGCTCTGCAGCGATGGTGAAGTGGAAGCCAGGTCAGTCCCTATGTTGACAGGCATGCAACTTGAAAACATTGCACAACAAGCAACACAAAGAGTGGAGAAGCTCACAACACTTCAAGGAGACCTCACGACCTTCACGACTGCATAAGCACAGAGACCCACCCTCCCTCCTTCCCACGCACTGTCTTACACGTGGGAGACCTTCTGTGACTCTCTAGCTTGTTTGATGCTATATAACCACTTGATGATTCTAGCATTTCTTTCGATGGCAGAAATGCCATACGGCACGCGGTCATTGGCACTGTCATCATTTCTAAGGTCACTGTTACTGTCCTGAGACTGTTCACAGTCTGAGCTGATCATGCTTGCGCTGCGGAAGTTGAGGGATATGATGTCAGAATTAGCCCTTGCAAAGTTTTCCATGCCCAGGTTTTCCAGCTCTTCCGGGTCCAGCCCACAGTAGTTGAAGAACCTCTCCACGTCCGCGTCCACTCGGAAATATCTGTCACTCAAGTCTGACTTAGACCGCTGGAGGGAGGGTCTCCGGCTGACTCCACAAGCTGGTTCCACAGGATCGGCCTCGGGGGACTTCATGGAGGCGATGGCTGCGATTCTGGGCTTGGGAGGCAGGGGAGGGGCGGAGCTACTGCAGGGGATGGCCTTGAGGGGCTTCACGCTGGTCACCTTGCGGATGTCCGAGGAGCTGTGGGACACGTGGAGGAAGGACTCGGCCGACTGCTCCAGCAGCCTCCTGCTCACGTGGGAGCCGCCCTCCTGCGGGCTGCCGCGGCCCTGCGTGGGGTAGACCTTCAGGGACTCCGCGAAGGAGTGCCGGTGCAGGTCGGGAGCCTCCGAGCGGTGCGGCGGCCAGTTGCGGGAGCTGTGCTTGTGCCCTGAGCCCGAGCTGGAGCCCTCGGAGCTGTTGATGATGTTCTTCAGGATCTCCAGCTTGAGGTTCTCCCTCTGCACGCCGCTCTCGGTCTTGGCGTGGTTGCCGAACACTTTGAGCGTGGGGCTGCCCAGCGCGCGCTTGGCAGCCGGGCACACCGGGGGCTTGGCCAGCACGGCGGGCTTCACCGGCTCCTGCTTGGCGTTGATCACCTCCTGGCTCTTGACGTACTTGGCCTTGTCGGCCTCCAGCCTCTCCACGGCGCTGAGCCGCTTGGGGTTGGGCTCGGCCTGCCTGCGGAAGTAGTCTGGCCCCTTGTTGAGGATGCGCAGGGGCACGGCCGAGGTGAAGGTGCCCGCGGGGCTGACCGGCTTCACCATGCTACCTGTCTGTAGGGTCTCCGTGGGCATGGTGGGCGGTCTCTCCCCGGCAGCCGTGTTGGATGCTCTTCTGGGCGCCTCCGCACGGCCTGAATAGACACATGTACATGAAGCAAGGCGGGCGGCGGGTGCAGCCTGGGAGCGAGTGTCAGCAGCGGCGGTCGCGGCAGCGCCTCATCTCACAGCCCGTTCACCGCCGCGGGGGCTTTCACACGCTTTCCTCCGCTTCCAGGCAGCCCCTGGACAAAAAGGCCACAAGCCACGAGTTGCTTTAATCTGCTTCGCTGCCTCCTTTCTTCTCCCTGAAGGAGGTGGGAGTCTCCTCCAGGTCTTTGTGTTCCACGGCAGGCAGAGCTGAAACACAAAACAACCAACCGCGGGTTAGGAGGGGCGGGTGACATCACGGCTCTAGCAACAAACCCCGCAGCGCCCCCGCCCCGCCCCTGCGCGGCCGGCCGAGGGTCGCGGGCCGCAGCTCCGGAGCTGTGCCCCCAACCGCGCGAGGGGGACGAGCCGGGCTGAGTGCCCCCGCCTGCGCCGACCCGCGGCAGCACAGCGCGGTGCTGGGAAGAGAGGGCTGAGGTTTCCCACGCGCGAACTCTTCCAGCTGCCTCCGGATTGGTGAGATCCGCCTTCTGAACATGCCCCGTTGGCATTTCTTAGCTCAAAACCCAGCAAATATTAGATGAACGTAGGAATGAGGGCCGAGGCAAGCCCGGTCCCCCAGCTCATTACATGCCACCGAGTTCCTACGAATCCTTCTTTTGCAAATGAAGCAAAACTTCTCCCTCCGTATTCCCTTCGTACTACCACATCTCTCAGGAACACTTGCAACAGTCACTTTTTAAACTTCATCAACTGAAAAGGGTAAGAAATGGGTTTGGCAGCAAAGCTATGAAATTAAAACAGAACAAAACAAAACAAAACTCATCATGGTGCAGTTATCTTACTTTGGCCAACCAATATATTTGAAAACACTTTCTTCTGCAAACCACTAATGTGTATGGAGTTCCTCCCATTAAACACAAGCTTACTTTTTTTTTTTTTTTTAACATCATAAGAAACCTAGAAATACCTCTAGATTTACCATATGAGTAGATAATTTGATTGTCCTCAAGTGCTCCATAATTTTTCATACTTAGCAGAAATCAAAAGTTTCTTTATGGTATATATATTTCCAAATCCCCTACAGTACTAGGAACAAAATCTTAAAAATGTCAATCATACCAAGCATTTTGGCAGGCGGAGGTGGGCGGATCACGAGGTCAAGAGACCGAGACCATCCTGGCCAACATGATGAAACCCCGTCTCTACTAAAAATACAAAAAATAGCCAGGCATGGTGGCATGTGCCTGTTGTCCCAGCTACTCGGGAGGCTGAAGCGGAAGAATCGCTTGAACCCAGGAGGCGGAGGTTGCAGTGAGCCAAGATTGCGCCACTGCACTCCAGCCTGGCGATTGAGCAAGACTCCATCTCGGAAAAAAAAAAAAAAATCATTCATACCTAAAAATATGTTACTTTAATACTATAGAAAACTTGAGTCACAAGTAAGCTTTCATGGGACAACTTGACTACCAAGCCAATAACAACAAATCCCACATGTCAATAGTGGAAAGTTTATCAGTATTCCTACTATAATTCTATAAGGAGTCTTTCATATGCCATATAATGTAACACCCCCGCAGTCCCTGGAATAAATCCTCCCATAGCCTGTTACTGCAGGCAGAGAACATTTACAGGTGCATCAGCACTCCAAAGCAACGGCTAATGACCTTATCAGCATCTTTGGTTATAATTAGGAATGTTCAGAGTAACCTAGTCAACTAACATGCCAAATAACTAACTTTCAAAATAGATAACGTCATATCACAACCAAATCTGCTGATATTTCTCCTTATAATCTTCTGAAATTCTTAAATCTCTAAATGCAACCCATCACCGTGTTTTGTTAGAGATAATTTTAGTAATCTTCGAAGGGATTTGTTCTAATAAAAATATTTTCCTATGCAAGATTTGAGAAGCCCCAAGGCAATACCTACATTAACAATTTCCTTTAATTGTGTGGTTCTATTTTGATACCTCAATTTAGTTTAAAAAACCACCTCCTCCTGTTAAGACGAAATGAGATTGTTTCTTTGAACACATGTTGAATGAAGTGCCAGAAGGGAGCCCCGATTCCTCTGGAGGCACAATCTCATCCTCTTTACAAAGAAGACTCAGAACCAGGGCAGGCAGCAGAGCCTGCGCCAGGATGTAACTCTGAGGGCATCATACCAAGGTCTCTTGGGAGAGGTCTGACCCCAGGACAATATCAGAAGGTTTAGGGACAGTGAGGGGCAGGAACAAGATCTGCACCCTTCAACTTTGTGCCTGAGGACCAGAGTGGGAACACCATCCAGTGGGCAGTGGGAGACAAAGCTCATCTCCCTTCTCCTGGGGCATGAGTTAGTTGGACAAGATTCCTTCAATCCTGTCTTACTCTAAATTCATGAGGTTCTGAGAATCGAAGAATGAAGGGCTTCTTTCCAGTTTCAAAATGGCACGTTGAAATCCTGGTGAATGACTGAACTTTTCTATGGTCCTGCACTGACTGTTCTTAGGACAAAGCGCTTTGAAGATGAGCTGTAGTTCTCATGTAACATCACTCCTCATGCAGGCCTGTGCGTCTCTTCTAACCATCTTCTCTTCTAGTTCCATCATATTAGGACCAGAAGCCTGAAACACCTACACCTCTGGCCTGGCCTTCCATGCACACTTGCAGGTCTGTTACGGTAGGCTTTGGAACTGCTGGCAACACTGAATAAAAAGCCTGACTTTTGGTCAGGCATGGTGGCTCATGCCTGTCATCCTAGCACTTTGGAAGGCCGAGGTGGGTGGATCACAAGATCAGGAGTTAGAGACCAGCTTGGCCAACATGATGAAATCCCATGTCTATTATAGAAAAAAAAGCCCAGCACAGTGGTGCGTGCCTGCAATCCCCGCTGGTGACTGAGGCAGGAGAATTGCTTGAACCCGGGACGTCGAGGTTGCAGTAAGCTGAGATCATGCCACTGCACTCCAGGCTGAGTGACAGGACAAGACTCCGTCTCAAAAAAAAAAAAAAAAAAAAAAAAAAGCCAGGGCGGTGGCTCACGCCTATGATCTCAGCACTTTGGGAGGTCGAGGAGGGTGGATCATGAGGTCAAGAGATCGAGACCATCCTGGTCAACAAGGTGAAACCCTGTCTCTACTAAAAATACAAAAATTAGCTGGGCATGGTGGTGTGCACCTGTAATCCCAGCTACTTGGGAGGCTGAGGCAGGAGAATTGCTTAAACCCAGGAGGTGGAGGTTGCGGTGAGCCGAGATCATGCCATTGCACTCCAGTCTGGGTAACAACAGCGAAATTCTGTCTCCAAAAAAAAAAAAAAAAAAAAAAAGCCTTACTGTCGTCGATTCCCAAGAGTGAGCACTAACAGTCTATCTACTAGGAAGCATTCTCCAGAAAGCTTCTTGTCTTTCTTGCGCACTGCTTTCTCTAGTCATGCAGCAGACACCCTCAGGATGGCTCCTCCAGCACTCACAATTGTTCCACTCTCCGGCAATTACTAATCTTAAAACTCGTGTGAAAGAACTATGTCAGAAATAGCAATTATCTCTAAGTACTTCATACCTCATTTCCTTTAGGCTTCCACCCCTTCCCCATGCTATTTCCAATTTCCCTAATAATTTTCAACACAGTGATGATGTTTTGACATGACCATGGATAGAGTTTGTAGTTTTGATGTGAACTCTGGGGAGGAAAAAAAACCATTATCTTATCAAAAGACCCAAAAGCAACAGAAAAAAACTAGGGATACTGTTTGGAGTGTGGTAGGATACTAAGGCATACTCCAAGTTTTCTACCTGGTGCAGCCAATGAAGTAAACCTACTTCAAAGATAAGCAGGTGACTTAGGCTATTCTTTCTTGTAATGTTCACTCAATCCTTAACTCTGGTTCTTTTATTTTTTACTGTGAAACAGTGTTGGCAGGGACAAAGCTATATAGTGCTGGAGAAAAACTCTGAGTTTTGTACAAGACAACCATCAAGTCAGTTCAGAGAGCACTGTAGCACATGACAGCCTACTGTCTTTGGCCCTGCTGCCAGCCCTCTCAGGGCCTGAATAGCCCTGAGTCGCAGCCAGGCACTGATGGGATGGTCAGGCCACCTGCCAGGCTGCGAGGGGCTTCTTGTTGTTTGGAGGAATGAAAATTAGATCTTGGCCCTGTAGGGTTTCATAAACAAAAGTAATTATATAGCATTGCCTGATCCTTGACTTATGACTCAGGATGGAGAACACAGCCCGAGGGTGGGAGAAACTTCCATTCACAAACCATCTTGGCTCTCTTCTACTCTGTTTAATATCCATTTGAAAATTTCATGAAGGGATTAAAAGGATCGGGGAAAAGAAACTTGGCAGAGCCAAGGTGCTAAATGGTTCGCTGAATCAGAGCAGATCTGAACTCAAATGTGAACTCAAAAGCAATCTGGCCTGGGGGTGGTGGTGGTCGGGTGAGGGCATATCATCTTTGGGGGAGTCCTGGTCTGTGCAGGGAGAACATGTGTCACATAGAGCCAGCTGAGGGCAGAGCATCCAAAGACAAGGAAGAGCAACGTTATCTCCCATTACTCACTCTAGTGGTGCTTCTCAACATTTAATGGGCCTGCAAACCCCTCGAGGATCTCCTTAAAGCACAGTGTGATTGGTTAGATTTGGGGTAAGGCCCCAGATTACCGATTTCTCACCAGATCGCAGGTGATGCTGTTTGTTGCCTTTGAGTAGCAACAGGAAAGGGGGCAAGCCCATTTCTGTGCTAGCCAGCATCCTATTAGAACCCAAATGCCTCCAGCACAGAGGAAACAGGCCAAAGTTTCTTCTCTGAATGAGCAAAAGTCTGAGCTTTTAAGGCCCAGAAACAGCAATCTCAGAGAATTCCAAGTTTTTAAAACCAAAGTGGCCTGAACCTTTCTAATTTCCAATCTGCCAGCTCCTCACAGGTGCAGTCGGGTAAACAGGACCCTCAGCTGAACTATAACCTTGGGAAGACTTAAGAATATTTGCAATGCTGAAAGTGGTTAGATACAGAGAATGAACCTCATACACAGATTATTATTATTATTATTTTTAAAGCTAAAGCCACAGTTCCTGTAATCTGGACAATTTGTGCTTTGAAGCCTTTGAGGCCAGGCCAATAATGGGAGAGTGTGTGGCTTGGGGAAAGGCACCCCCAGCTAAGGGCTGCCATGGGGAATGTGGCTTACTGTTGACACAGCAGCAAATCCAGAGCTCTGCACAAACTCTCCTGATTTAAAAATTCAATATTAAAAACATTG